AATTCTGTATGTATGACTGCACAGTAAAGTAATGCCTAAACACACTTTGAGTAAACAAAGGGTACATGTTCTCTAATCACATTTTAAGAACATGTTGATCTTCAAAGGTTTGGGAATTCATAAATCTGGTCCTTCACCATGAATAGTCTGAGACACCCTGAGGTATCACAGTGTGAGCAGAAGCCCTGTCTGCCTGGCAGGCATATTTTTCATTCCAAATTCATAAAATGGCATTCTAAACAAGGAAGTGACAATTGGTTCAGAAGTTGAGGACTCTTCTAGACTGGGTGGTTGTGGTCAAAGAAGCATGTTGGAAATGGTGACCTCTGAACTGGGGTAAAGGGAGAGCAAGTAAGGCACAGAATAGCAAAGTATGTTCAGCATAGGAAAGGGTGTGGCGTTCTGGAAATAGAAGAAGACTAACGTGGTCAGGTGTTGAGCGTAGAGTGGACGGGTGGTGAGGAACGAACTGCAGGCGAAGGAAAGAGCCAGACTTGCATGGCCACACAGACCACACATCTTCTTTTCCTCTCCCACGCCATAGAGAAGAGTTGGCACACCACCACAGGCCATGGGTGGCTGCCATGGTGGGAGTCTGCAGTGTGAACCACAGACTCATAGGGTGGAAGCCCAGGTGGTGGCACTATCGTAGGTCATGTGTCCTGGCTGACTGGAAGGCGTGTGCTAATTCCACCAGTCGAGAATAAGACCACTACCACAGTTTAAAGCCAAATCTGAAGCCAGTTTTAATTAAATACTGGCCAGGCTGATAGGCTCTGGTCAGGTCCATACCCAGGTTCCCAGGAAATGGTCCAGAATCATAGTCTTCAGAGGCTTAAAAAGGAAAACCCATAATTCATTGCACTTCCCACCAGGTCCAATCAGGGGCAAATATACATCCTGACATTAGCTCCAGCCTGTGAACCTCACACCCAACATGAGATTAAGCACATTGATGCAGATGGGTCAAACAAACTTGTTTAGGGGAGTGAGAGCGTGTGGCTTGTTATCCCCATAAACAATAGCATCCAGCATTTCAGGAACTATCTTCCTTGGACAAGGGGCTTGCAGATCAGGGGCATTTTTGTTTAGTGGATCTCTTAGGTATAGTCATTGAAACTTAAAATGTAGCTTTGACTCTCACAGGTGGGTCATTCAGAAGTGGCGGTTAAAGCTTCTAGGCTGGCCTTGTTTCCAGTCCTGGTCTCTCTGCTCCCTGATCTGATACAGTGTAACAAGTTACTTTCTCACACTTCCTTCACATTGGGTTCAGTGGAGCATGCCTGATTGTCTCTGTGTTTCTTGTCATGGTGAAACCCTTAGCCAAAATAAATCTTCCCTCCCTTAAGTTGCTGTTGCCAAGTGCTTTGTCACAGTAACAGGAAAAGTAGCCAATCGACTGTGAGTATCTGCTTGCCAGGGGAGGGGCTAGCCTGTAAGGAATGCCACAGAACTTTCAGAGTGATAAAAATATGCTGTGTCTTGCAGTGGGACATTACGCCCTCACTCAAAATGCACTGGAAAATACAATTTTTAAAAATATCCAGTGTTTTTGAAGCCCAGAAAGGTGAAAGAATGATAATAACCATGAATTCTTGTGGGAAATTATAAAATGCAGAGTTCCAAAACGTTGTGCAGCCTGCCCAAGCCATACTTATGTAACAGACTCAAGCCATGGCCCCTCCAATCTACCTGCCTGCCTTTCTTCAGAATGAGCCCAAAGCAGCCCCCTTATAAGATGAAAATGTCTATAACTATTACATTGGCTTGTGTAACAATAAATGTTGCCACGGAAATGTACGAATTTGATTTTAATTTTAATTTGAAAGTCCTTCTCTTTGTTCATTTCTTGAAGCTGCTTAACAAAATTATCACAAGCTTAGTGGCTTCCAGCAACAACAAAAACTGATTATTTCACAGTCTAGGAACCAAGAGTTCAGAGTCAAGGTGTTGGCAGAGTCCAGATCCTTCTTTTGGAGGAGACAGAGCATGCCTCCCTTCTTCCTCCTCTTTCCTCAGAGTTGTCAACTTGTCTTGGTGGCTACAAGTGACACTTGACTGGAGGCTGTGTTGCCCCATACTCTCCCCCCTCGTCCCTGAGTGTCCCTTGGAAAAAAAACAAATCACTGAGACTGATTTCAATAATGAGAGCTCCTTCATTATAGCCACTAAGACTCCTTCTGTCAACAAGGTCATATTCATGAGTTCTCAGGAGTAGAACATAGATATCTTTTCATGCACCATTCCAAAGACCACTGAGCCCTCGACCCACTCCATGCAACAGCCTTGAAACTCTCCAGGCAATGCAATGAGCGGGGGAAATCAGCAGGCTGACCTTGGCTGTTGTTCTCCTAGGGTCACCATCCTCCACCATCTAGCTCGTCTGTCACTGTGTTTGGGCAAAGTTGTTCCAGTATCCTACCGGTTAAAGCCAATCCCGGTGGCTCCAGCATGGCCAAGAGCAGCTGCTGCACCCACAAGGGGAGCTCATTTGAATGCTGCACCTTCCCCATCTTGCTCAGTCTGTGTGTTCAGTGTCTCTAGAAATGGCTGGGGCGCAGCGCTCTTGCTGCGGTGGTGAAGGGATGCATGACCAAACAGATGCAAGGGAGAGTCTAAACCCTTCGTTGTCTTCTCGCTAGGGGTTGAGTAGTAGCAATGTCTGCCGGCTCGATGGACTTAAGCCGCCCCTCCCTGGTATCTGCTACTCTAATTAACTGTTTTCCTCCCTGTGCTGATTAATTTGGTTGCCAACTTGATAGGATCTAGATCTGAGATGCCTAGATACAAACTGCAGGGCCTATCTATAAGGGAGTTTCGGTGCTGGGTTAAGTAAGGTAGGAAGAGCTCCCAACTGTGAGTGGCTGAGATAAGAGACTGCATCCAAAAGCGATCTGACCACCAGTATCCATCCTTCTCTGCTCCCTGCAGATGCAGTGGGGCGAGGTGCTTCAAACCCCTGCCAACACGGTGGGCTGCACACTCCAAGTGTGAGCCAAACAAATCCTCCCTTCTTAAGTTGTTGTTTTCCAGCATTTTGTCAGAGCAGCAAGAAAAATAATAAGTAGATTCCCCAATCTGTTCTTAGCCCCCCTCGGTTGTGGCACATCCTTAATTTAAGAGATTGGTGCTGGGAATCTTAAGAGATATATTTGAGTACTGGGTTATTAAGCACATGTCTGAATGTATTTTTTAATTTTAATTGTATTTCTCTGTCTGTGTGTATGTGTTATGTGTATGTGTTATGTGTATGTGTGGGTGCACATGTATGCACATTGAGGTGGGAGCAAGAGTTGACATAGGATGTTTTCCTTACTAGCTCACCATTTTATAACTGAGGCATTGTCTCTCACATGAAACCAGAGTTCACCGACTGTCTAGCCACTACCTCTCCAGCACTGAGATTACAATCAGACCACCACATCTACCTACCATTATGTAGCTGCTGAGGACCTGAACTCTAAAAACACTAACGCAGGAACTTGACCTGCTTTTGCTTGTGTTTTTAGGTCAAAGGACACAGAGTGTTTTGAAGGAAGGAGACCATATGGAAAAGGAGAGTGATTAATAGCATTGCTGAGTACTCACTAGTACTGCTGAGTGATAGTACTACAAGGTGATTAATGGTCTTAGTGATTAAGTCCTACTTTTACATGGCTGTAATATTATTAGTAAGTGAGTGATAGATTGTCACTGGGACCTGAGACCCTTCAATTTTTTTTGTGTGTGTGAAAAATAAATAATAGGCACCTAGGTAATAGGAGGCAAAAGATAAGAAAGGAATTTGCCTACAGAGAAACACAGATAATAGATTAGATTGCTACAGCTGGGCGGTAGTGGCACGCGCCTTTAATCTCATCACGCAGGAGGCAGAGGCACACGTATCTCTGTGAGTTTGAAGCCAGCCTGGTCTACAAGAGCTGGTTCCAGAGAAACCTTGTCTCAAAAAAAAAAAAAAAATCCAACCAATCAAACAACAACAACAACAAAAAACTCATTAGATTACTGTCCAAACAATTGAAAGGGCTATGCATTTGTGTCTGGGGCTTTGTATCTGCGTGCGTGCGTGCGTGCGTGCGTGTGTGTGTGTGTGTGTGTGTGTTCAGTGACAGAGCTCTTATTTAAAATATGAAGCCTGGGTTCAGTCCCCAGTACCACACAAAAACTTATTACTATAGCTAAATGCAGAGACAAATTATTCCTGTATTTATTCCCAAATTCAAATATTCGTTAATTAAAAAGGAAAAAACGTTTGTCATTATCACTGACACATAAAACACCAGGTGATGCCCCTTACAATCCCAGCACTGGGGGGAAAAGATAGGAGAATCCTTGGCTTACTGCCAGCCAGCCTAGTCATGTGGACAAGGCCCACATTTCAGGGAGAGGCTGTATCTAGAAAAACAAAAGTGGTCCTAAAGAGAGATCCTCTGGTCTATACACACACATATGCACACATGCACACGTAGAGAGAGAGAGAGAGAGAGAGAGAGAGAGAGAGAGAGAGAGAGAGAGCCCCAGAAACAAATAAAATACATTGATTTTATAAAACCACAAACAGATGAGCTGTAGAGATAGATGCTTTCACTTAGCAGCAAATAGTTCTATCCGATGCAAATGAGATCGAGATTTCCCCCTCAGGTTTTTAAGCCTAGAGGATGAATTTACTACCATTTTCTCAGCTCCTTCTCAGACGTTTGATGTCCGGTTTCATGCATGATGCAGTAACACCCACCCTTGTGACTGCAGACTGTTTGGATTTAGCCAGCACGGACACTTGAGCCTTGACAGGCACCCTTTCAAATACCACTCCGCTCCAGCAAGTCTCCCTGTCAGGAGGAGACCACTGCAGGGAGCCTGAAGAAAAACAGCGCCCACGCATAATCGCTCAGCAGGGCACGTGGCCTGCAGCCTCCTGATACAATATTTACATCCCATTCCATTGAGATGGCCCCTCTCTCTTCTCACGTGACCCAAACGCAGTTCTCACTCTGCCAAGAACAAACAGCCCAAACGCAGTTCTGCGCTGGCAGCTCTGCACATGCTCCGTCTGGCCCCGTGGCGCCTCACTCACTCATTGAGGTTTCTATTGGTTTAAAGCAACCTTCCGGCCCCTGAAGCTCTAAGACCTGCAGCATTTCCCTGGCCACGATCCAAGGTACGCACCCCCACGAAGACTGTTTCATTTTAGGATTTGGACTGTTCCGTCTATCTGTTGGGGGGAGGGGTGTGTAATACTCACACATGAGCATAGACGGTGGATGGGGCTCAGAGAGTAACTCCCCCCACCACACACACACACAGTTTTTATAAGACGACTATTTTACCTCTCTTCAACGTTGGCCTTGAAGGCAACCTGCAGATCTAATGCACACTTAATTCTCCAACAGGAAACTCGGCCAACGATGCTGAAGCCGACTGACTGTTGGCTGCAGCGTGTAAGCTGGTGTTTTCTCTTCTCCAGAGCCCTGGATTGTTTTTGCTGTTCTTAGGGTAAACGATGAGACAGGCTACCATGGATTTCAGCCCCTCGTCTGTGTTCGATCAGCAAAAAGGTAGAACGATGCTTTACTATGTCCTTCAATGCTGAGTATAACAGAGGGATTTCCAGTTGTAAGGAAAGGGGTGTGTGTGTGTGTGGTGTGTGTGTGTGTGTGTGTGTACAAACCTGTTAAGAATGTTCTCTTCTAACTTGATAAGCCTTTAAGAGAGAAAAAGCAAGTGCATGGGCTTTCTGTCTTGCTGACGTATTCCTAGCCCCTGGGTTTAAGGCATAGCAGCTAATTTAGAGATTGCCATCTTGATGCCCTGTCTTAAAGTGTATTAGAGAACGTGATGTCAGAATGTATCCCATGCCTCTTTCAGTCTATAAATCCCATCTTTTATCACTACAGTCCTCACGAGCCACTGTGGATTCCCCTCGAGGAGAGACATGACCCACAGACAGGTCGTGCTGACACTGTAGCTCAATCAAGGCTGTGCCTTGACTTAATACCATATTATTTAATTGCAATGGTAGAGTGTGGTTTTTTTTCGTACCCTTCATTTGAATAAAGGAGGTCATCTTCCACAGGAGGAGTAGGCTGTGGAGTTCATTCATTCTTATCATCATCAGACATACAGCCCTCCAGTCTGTATATGTGATTTTGTATATGTTGTGTGCACCCACGAATGTATTTGGCATCTGTGTAATTACACAGGATGGTGGGAGGGGGGTCCACTCTTTAAATGTAACAGAAATTTCTAGAACCTTTTTATGAAATGCCTGACATCTAATTCACTCTTTACACCGAGTTACTTCAGCACTTCAAGGTCCTTTCAGCTATGGCATGAAATGGTGGCTTGGGGAAGCCTCATTAGGAAAATCCATTTCTTCTTTCTTTTTCCCAAATGCCGCTGCTTCCGGCCAGTGTTACCTCCCTTGGTTCTACATCTGGCTTCACAAGCGAGCGATGTTTGCTCAGTGGGGTTCTCAAATAATAACTTAGATTTCTGAGGCATTTAGTAGATAGAGTCTGGCGAGAGGGAGAACATCTTAATTGAGGCTGGAGATAGGCACTGGAGGGAAGAGGCTACCTTCAGTTTCCCCTACCACCCCCTTTCTCCTCCCTGTACCTTGTGTTCTGCTGATGGGAACTCTGCTGAGAATCAAACTGTTCAGGCTGGCCAGAAAACAGTGTTGCTGAGCCACATAACCAACAGAGAAGCACAATGGGCTTATTCTGGGGCCGATTCTGAGGGAACAGGGACTGACTGCAGGAGAACAAGCCCTCCAGAATGAATTCATCTGTTCCAGCGTGGTGCTCTCTCTCGGGAGCGCGCTCAGGTCATACCTAACGGGAGTTATCTTTCTGCAGCATCTTTTATTCTCAGCAGTTCCTCTACCCGAGTCCTCCCATAATATTAACCCTTTCCCTGCTATCTCTGCGCCTCTCCTTCCTCTCTGAAATGAGTACTTGATGGGAACAGAGATGTCTACAGTCACAGCTCTGAATGGCAAATCAGTTGAGATTTGCAGTCTTGGCATTTTACTTGGCCTTCATTTCCTCAGCAGGAAAATGATGTTTATGTAGCAGGGTCATTACAAAAATCCAAACTGATGCTTAAAGAAACAGTTGCCAGATTGCCAAGATTGCAGTGTTTTCAAATCACGGCTGCTGCTGCTCTCGCTGGGTTCAATGCCACCTGATCACCTCTTGACGTCCAGTCTAAAGGTACCTATCTTCAGTCAGGGTGCTTGGTCGCTGCTGGGTAACTGGATTGCATTGCACCTTCGCTCAGAAGGGCAGGGGGCCACTCAGAGTAAGTTCTGAGAGACACAGAACAGAAAGGATGCCCTTGTATTTCTATCACCCCACTAACCCTTCCTCTACATTAAAAGCCTGGGAGAGCCTAAGAAGTTTTAAAACCTGAGTAGATTTCAATATTGTATCATTTAGCAAACGGCGGTAACATGACCAGAACGTTGAGCGTGAGTACTTTAGTTTAATACCTGATATGGCGGGGAGGGAACATGGGAGCTTGCTCTGTGCAGTTCATACAGAGGCCTGGGATTGCAGTACCTCAGGAATGGTGTAATTCTTCAGGAGACCTTGTAAATAAATAAATATGGGCTGAGTGCGGAACTTTAGGGAAGGCTTTTGCAGCGGATCCTAACAACTAGAGAACTGAACCCAACAGTAGCAGGTTCACATGTGTGTGTGGACAGAGACATTTCTTTTGGGAGAAGCTGAAATATGTTTCGGAAACTTTCTTTAGGGACATGTAGACAAATGTCTGCCTCTTCATTTTAGACACCAAGGACTGGGAGAACCAATGAAATTATTGGACTTGCTTACAGGGCAAAGATGAGGAGTTTCTTATGGGATCATGAGTGATCCCCAAGCTGCCACACCACCAAAAAAAAAAAAAAAAACCAACAATCAAACAAATAAAAACAACAACAACAAAAACTCATCCCAACATGAATGATAACTTCTCTATTACTGGATAGATGGAATCCCCCTCTTACTGAACCATCTATGGTAGGTCTGTATACTCCAACAAGGCCACGTGCAGTTAGGTTAAATGGTTAGGATGTGTGGGAGGGAGTAGACAGAATCTTAGGCAAGACTCCACTGATCCCCTTCAGCCCTTCTTCCTGAAGGAATGTTCACAGCCAACAGGTTTCATTTTGAGGGTTTCCTGCTAGGAACCACAGCTGCTCTGATGAAAATGGCAGTGATTATAATAATATAATATGATATAATATAATATAATATGATATAATATAATATAATAATGTTCTACAATGGATATTACACGGTCCACTGGGTCTTGAACTTAGCTGGACAAGAAACAGTTTGAGGGGTTGGGAAGCATTGAAAGTGGTGATGCCTGGATCCCCCCTGTGGAGTTTTCAATAAAATGGGTATAGATATGGCTTGATCCCCACCCCCAGAATGTTCGTTCCTCCCCCGAAACCTTTCGTGGTGGGGGAGAAATAAGGACAGGGCAGCTCTTGCAAAAATCACAATCTGCCAGTTACTAACGAGAGGACCCAGACCTGGCAACTCTCTTATGCAGGCCACAAAGCAATTGCAAGCTTCCAATTCACCAACCTCTCCGGCTTAGCAATGGCTGGAGGTAAGCGCAGGCTGGAACTCAGCTCATGGCTGTGCAGAGAATGGGGGAGCCACATGCAGGGATCTAAGGAGGTAAATCTCTATGACTCTGTTTATCTACAAAGTCTTGTCTTAAGTTCCCATAGGCTCCTGAGCTGATGGCCCTCCTTTGGCTTCAGTCTCCCCTCCTGTGTGAGCTAGATGGTTTTGCCTATCTACAAGGTCACTGTGGGCTTCAGGGCCAGGTTATGACTGGCCCAGACTCTAGCTTGCCGTGTTAACTTTAAAGGGAGGAAGCGTGAGTCTGCCAGACTCCCTGCTCCTGTGTCTTGTGCTTTCAGCTCTCACCATAGCAACAGCTGTGACCCCACATGTTCCTCCTGGCTGCCTGCCCTCTCCAGGCCCACATGCAAGAGAGGAACATAGTAAAGTGATTTACTACAGAACACGGAGGTTCCTACTCACTTAAGTCGACAGGCTGCGTAACTGAGGGGAAATCTACATTTTCACCTCTGTACAAGGACTGTGCCTGAAGGAATCTCTGCCCTCAGAGAGAAAACGGGAGGCATAGCCACTCTCCATGGCCTCCTTTGTCCTCATCAGCCCGGTGTTGGTCACAGTGAGGAGGCCGGGTCCTACTGCAATTCTGTTGGGAAATGGATCTGATGAGGTAGGATGGAATATGTGCAGCCACCTCGGGACTTAAGGTTTCTCACAGCCTTGGTTTCTCATAGAAACATTGCTGTAAGGATGAGAGGAATGACTGGTCTTCTGCTCAGGTGATCTACTGTAATGAAACACTATCCACGGGGCGCTCACAACAACAGACATCTCCTCTCACAATTCTGGAAGACCCGTAAGAAATCGAGATGCCAGGAGCACACTCCGTCTAGAACTTTCAGGGAAGCGTCTTCCCTTGCCTCTTCCAGTTTCAGGCTGTCATGACCTCATAACTTCCACCTCTGCCTTCATCTCTGTCTACCAGGCTACGTGTCCATATCTCCTCCATGTGTGCAGTCCATGGTGCGAGTCTCAAACTTCGTCTGCTCCAGACAGTGCAGGAGAAATGCCTCGTAATCTGTGACTTAACCCCAGTGTTTCACACCTAAGACAGGTGTGTGTGTGTGTGTGTGTGTGTGTGTGTGTGTGTGTGTACATGGGCTTGTGCGTGTGTGTGCCATATAAAGCAATAACCATAAGTTCCAGCAGTTAGGACATGAACATCTCTAGAGCTACATGAATTGGGAACTCTCAGAAAGCAGATGTGCTGGGTGTGGTTTTGTCAGCCTGACACAAGCTGGGGTCGTCAGATAAGTGGGAACCTCAACTGAGAAAATACCTCCATCAGACTGGCTTATAGTAAGTCTGTGAAGCTAACTTCCTGACTAATGGTTGATGTGGGAAGGCCCAGTCCACTGTGGGCAGTGGCCCTAGGTTGTCTAAGAAAGTAGGCCAGTAAGTGGCCTTTCTTCATGGCCTCTGCCTCAGCTCCCATCTCAAGGTTGCCTTGAGCTCCTGCTTGGAATTCCCTTCACGATGGACTCTAAGCTATAAGATGACATAAACCCTTCCTACGTCAGGTTGCCTTTGGTTGTAGCGCTCAGCCCAATGCTAGAAAACTTAACCAGGACCTAAGGTAAAGTCATAACGTAGCATGGTTTTTGGTAAAAATCCATTCTTATTTATGGTATATGGAAAGCTGGCATGTAATAGGTGAGAGGAACATCTCTTGGGTGCCAACGCTGCACAGGCATTGCGTGTGGATAACATGGTGGGCGAGCTGGTGTCTACTGAGCACCCAACCTCCTGCGCTAAGAACGACACCTAAATCGACTCATAGAATTCTACTATCAGCCTCTTTCTTTTACCAGCACAATTCAGAAAGCTCGTGACCTAACCCACCATTACCACCAGCAGAGCAGAAAAGCTGGGACCACAGCCTAAGTCTATTT